TGAATCAAAATCCCAAACTTCAATGGACATTGAAAATGGTGACATTGGAAATCCAGAAAAGGTAAACTCTGAGATAGTTCCTTGTGCCATTCCAAAAGAGTACATTTGCTTTTATTGCCAAAAGAAGGGGCATTGGAGACGAAGCTGCCTTGTTTACCTGAGAGATCTAAGAGATGGGAGTGTTAGGACGTATGGCTCTACTTCAGGTAAAATCCATTAACTAACTCTTTTAAGTTCCTATTCTAGATTTTTAATACATGCTGTGATAAGATTACATTTTAATGTTTTGTAGGATCGAAGAAAAGAGAGGAAGCTTAAGGGAAGAAGTGAGTTGAATCTAATCATGAAGAAATGGATTTCGATCGCATTGCTTGAAGATTAGATTTTTGAGCTACTACTTGGAGTTAGAATAGATTACTAAGAAATATGTAATAACATAGTTTTTCAATTGAATTGAATTGTAAGGCCAAATTTTTCCGCAATAAAATAAATTTTGATTTTATCTTATTTATTTATCCTTGCAATGGCGTGTATGAAAAATTGATGTTTGAAGTTTTCTATTATTAGCAATAATGGATTTGATTCTTAAATATTTTATTTGTGGAGATGTCAAGAATTTACCAAATAAGGAGAGTTTCTCATCGCCCAAGTTTCAATTGGACAGAAACTTGGAATCATGCAACTTGGTTGCGTGATGAATGAAAACTTTTATATTTGGAAATTAGACTAGTTTTTTGACAAAGTGTCAAGTGAAGGACTAGGAGATCGATTACACTAGGTTATGCGTTGATCAAATCCACCACAAAGAGAAATAAGATATTCGTCATGACTTACTAAAAGTTTAGTAAATATGATTATACTTATAAGATTAAGTGTAATTCCGAGTTGATTGAAAGAGTTTCAATGAATAGCAGAACGAATACAGAAAAATCAAGTAGGCAAAAAGATAAAAGTTTCTCTATTCTAAGAAGAAGGGAGACTACCTTTTATTGTGTTTTATGATAAGTCTTAATGATTAAGAACCATATCTTGATTAATCCTCTAATAGAGTCTTAGTGCATTTGTATATCTAAGAAGAGGAATCGAGAATTGTGGAATTGGTTAAATCAAGAAGTCAATCATACTTCATTTCAATATCAAGTCTTGGAGTTATACCCCAGGATTGTGAACTGAGTGACAAGTCTTAAGAAGGTTTATAACACTCAACAAATGTGGAATTTGGAAAAGTTTTCTTATTCTTGCGCATTTGAAATTGGTATGTTATGCTGTCTTGGATAAGACAAAGACCAACTAGGACAAATTATGTGAAGTGTTTTGTCTTGATAAGAACAACACTGTGTTTTGTCTAGAAAAGTTTTTTGACAAGAGAATCATAAATGTCAAGAGGTCAATGGGAGTTTTAATGATCTTGAATATTTTTTAAGAACTAATCAAGAATAAACCTAATCAACAATCACTAGAACACGACTTCAGGTTTGTAACCTATTGTGTTGACATATACTTGTTTCTGTGCCATTCCACTTTAGTCAACTATGCATTTGAGTTTTATGAGTTCTCAATAGATTGCATAGGGGCAAGGCACCTTGATCAATGGAAAGTACATTGAATTGTAGGGGTGAGCTGCTCAATAACTTGGAAGCAATGGTGGGACCCTTAATGGTAAGAAATTAAGAAGAACAAGTTTTATCCATTAGAGTTTGGATTTGCCACTAACATTATCTCGTGATTATGGTTAAGAAAAATTCACCTGGATAACAACACATACACAATAAAATCTAAGTGTCATAAGGTTTCTCTCCTTCAAGAAAATGATTGTGAGGAAACGCTTTCACTAAGAGAGATTTTGAAGATAGCATTATGTAATTTGGGTTTCTCAAATTCAACTATGATTACGGAATACCTCTTCATAGTTCGAATTGTGGGAAATGGAAAATGGGTCTGAACATTTTAGACTTATTGCTATAAGTTCTAGAATCGTTTAGACACACGCATGAGTTATCTAAGAAAAGGTGTATGACGTTGAGAAGCTTAGATAAAGTCTTATCGAAGCATCTTAGTATTAGAAATATGAACTTAAGAAACTCAATAAGCATTGTTTTCTATAAGTTCAACTATTTTCTGAATACATGTCGAAGCTAGTGGGAGCATAATTGTTATGCTGGTATAAATATAATCATCATGTTAGTGGGAGCATGATAATTATGGTAAGTTTCAAGTTAGCAATATTAATTATAGAAAACAAGTGTTTTAATTTGCAAAGTTGCAAGGGTTGAAAGGTTGTTTTGCTATAATTAAGGGAGAGAATATTATACTTCGTTTTGAAATCTAAGAGCTTAGATCGAGAAATTTTAATCAAATCCCTTTTCTTAATTTGAGTTTTGAGAACATGGAAAATAGAAATATTATGGAAAAAGACTAATAAACTATCACGTCTTTATGTAAGACATTATGCTTCGTTTTCCATACGCTTCGAGTATAGGATCGATCACATATGCTGTAATAATTGACCATTCTAAAATTTTGCAAATGCCTAGAGCATTAAGAGGGGAAAAGGACTAGAACCGGACATGACTAAGTTTATTAAACAAATATCAAAGGAAAATCTAAGGTTCACCAATGATTGGTTGCTTGTGAATAGTTGGAAGTATAGTAGTGGATGGACCATACTGATATTATTTTTACAAGATTTGATAATGAGTTATCATATGGCAAATGTGGAAATGTTTCCATATTGGGAGTTGGACGTTAAGAATCTATATGTCTAGATTAGAACTTTTATGTAGAAGGATATTTAAAGGAATGTACCTTGAACATGAGACTTCGTATCTATGGAATTGTCTTGCAACAATATCCAATAGAGGACTTTGTAATTTCATTGGCAATAGTCTTTGTGACTTTAGTGCAGTGACATTACGAAAGGATTGTTGCATAAAACGTTAGAATATAACGTATTCTATATGTGTCAAGAATTTGATATTCTTACACTTGTGATAAGGATTGGGAGTTGTAAAATGAGTATGATTGGAAACGTGTTCATATGATCTATTTCACAAAGTAAGGACCATAGGTAAACATTGTGTGCATGCTAAGAGCATGAGACAATTGTAGTAATAATTCAAGTAATAAGTTAATTAACCGAAACAAAAAATAACGAGTAATCGATATGGTGATAAATAAATGGTGTTTTATTTATACTCAAACGTTTGGGACCATATAGGATTAGTATTATTCTTGTGTTTCACTTTGCATGTTTTGACTTCCTGAACAATTAATTATTTCAGAATAATCAAATTATTCGAATGGTCCACAGTCGTTCATATGTTGGAAGTAGGTATGAATGAAGACTGTCATGAATTGGTTTGTAGATTGTCTAAAGTGTATTAGACATAGCATGGGTTTGTTGCAATGTTCATGACTGCTTATGAATATGATTTTGAGCGTTGGATTAAACCCACACTCACAAGAATCACTTCATGGATTTTATCATGAGTGATTGTGAGTTGATAATATTGTATATTCTTGAAACCGAGACGTGTGAGTTGTTATTTGCTGGTCGGTTGAACATTGATGATAAGTAAACGCACCAGTAACTTGGTGTTATAAAACTTATTATTGTGTGTGATTCGATGAGTGAATGCAAGTGAGCATATGATTCGAAGTTTATCCATTCCTTTTACCCAAAGTGGGATAAAAGTGATATCTTTTGGCCCCTCCATGATTTATTGATGACACTTAAGCGCTTGGCCAAGCCGAGGCTAAGTTGATGTGTTCAGTTGTAGTCTGTGGTCAGTCTTCATAAATCGGAAGTCGGGAAACAGTATAGAGAGAATGATTAAAATTCATGTCTTATGTCTATATGATATCTTAAAAATGGAGGATTGTATGATCCCTTATCTAAAGGACACGCTTCTGATAAGATCAGAGTTGATAGCGGCTTTTGAAAGCTACGATTGCTAATCAGGATATGAAGTCATATGCAAAATAGTATTAGACTTATCCAAGTGGGAGACTGTTGGATTTATGTCTAAGTCCATTACTATTTTGGTATATAGTTGACCCGATTGTGCATGGTCCTTTTCGGTTGCCTTCACCAAAGCAACTTGATAGGATAATTTATGGAGAAAGAAGATTAATTATAATTTATTAATATATTATATGAATAATATATTAAAAGACAAATCATATTTTTTAATTAATAATAGTCAAGAATTAATAAGAATTAATTTTGTGGCTAGAAGACATTAATTAAATAAAGGGGACTAGAATTGTCAATTGTTTGATAGTCGAATATTGGGCTAATGGATTCAATACTAGAGGGGTGGACGAATTTTATGGGGAAACCCATTATAAATCGTCCAAGGCCTCTAAGAAGGGAGTCCATGGGCTTCTTAGGGCCTAAGCAGTCAAATTAGCGTTTCCTTGTTTGATAACCCTAATAGCCTCAATATTTAAGGACCCCTGGAGCACCAAAAAAGTGGCCAATAGTTTCCTTAGGGTTTCTAGACATTTTTGGGTGCCTCTCCACTTCTCCTAAGTCATCCTCTTACTCTTGGTGTTTGTGAGCCATTAGAGGTACTAAACTTGTGGTACTTGCTTTCAATGCTAAGGATATTCAAGGAACTAGTTGTTATTACTATATAACAACAAAATGTATGTATTATATTCTTCTATGTGGATTTCGAAAATAGTAGTAGCATGCCAGCTTTCTGTTTGTGTTCATAAAGTCATATAACTAATAGTGGAAACATAGATCCAACTCTAGGGTTGCATGCACACATAGGATTGTTTGTGTAAAACCCAACAAAATATTCTTTAAGATATCCTAAGACCTAATCATAGAAAGCAACTATAGAAGATTTTCAAGATTCTCAAGAAACTGTCTTTCACATGCCACCTGTCTTTAAAACTTATCATCGGTTTGTTGATCAAACTGCTTCTCCACCTTCATATAATGAGACAAGTTCTCAAGAACATGAACAAGAACAGCCATCTGATAATATATGGCTTACTGTATCAGAGATACCTCTATTCACACAACCTACCAAAAGCACCACCACCTTCAAGACCCCCCCTTTCCAATACCAAGTCATACTTCAAAATTCAAACGAGGGTATTTTGGTAAATACACTCAAAGCCATAACCCATTCCAAGCATCTCCATTGGATGAGTTTGAGAATTTTTCCATGAGTAGAAGTGGAACACCAGATAATGGTGTGGACCATCTTAATGGTGAAGAAATGGATTCAAAATCAGCTACTGCTGCAATGAAAGTTGCCATGGACAGAGCCGAAGCTAAATTCAGGCACGCAAAGGAAGTAAGGGAAAGAGAACATGCAAAATCTTATAGAAACAAAGGATATGTAACTATAAAACTACAAAGAGATGACATGTATATTGAAGAAGATTCATCAAAGAGGGAAGAACAAGATAGAGAGAGAGAGAGAGAGAGGTAGACTTGAAAAAGAGAGAATGAGGGAAATTGAAAGGGAAAAGGCTAGGCAAGCCGTGGAAATGGCAACAAGGGAAGCCCATGAAAGAGCAAGAAATGAAGCACGTGACTGAGGAGCTGTTGAAGCTCATTTGAAGTCTGAAAGGGCTGATGTTCAAAGAGCACAAGATGAGGCATGTGATCGGGCAACTATTGATGCAAAGGGAAGGGCAAAACGGGCAGCTGGGGCACGTCGATGATATGAGGTCATTCCTTTGTCTCCAAATAGTGGGTTAATTGAGTGGGTCCCTAATTGTGACACCCTCCACCAGCTCATCTGAGAGTACAGGGATACCCAAAAGGTGTATTTGTTCATGTTCCTCCCCGTAGATGTTTCAATTGACCACATAAGTAATATTGTTTGATTCTGACACACTCTATAGCATTCTCACTCATTTCCAACATTTTTCTAATATTGATTCCATTTTTTTAATATAGGTTATTTAAGTGTGTTCAATTTTTTAAATGAACGACTGATAGGCGGTGGAAAAGGTTACTATGGTGCCCTTTTATGTTGTGCCTGGAGGTAATTGATGGGTTTTGGTCATAAGAACATCCTATGTGCTCATACAAACCCTAATGCTTGGATCTAGGTTTCTCTATTGTACATGCAAGTTATCCAAGACTATAAACCCTAATTCTAGCATACAAGTAATCATATTAACATAAGAATGGGTTTAAGACATTACCTTGATTGTTATGTACCAATAACAATCTAAATCCTCCTTGTATTGACTTTAGAAAGCTTAGAGTCACAAATGTCACTCCTCTAATGGTTCACAAACACCAAGAGAAAGAGGATGAAGAGGAGAAAGGATGGAGGCTGCCCTAAAACGTGTGAAACCCTAGAAAGATGCTTAGTCACGTTTTTGGGTCATAAGGGATGTATATATAGTTAGGATATTAGGGTTATCTAACAAGGAAACCCTAAATTGGATGCTTAAGCCCTAAGCAACCCATCGATTCCTTTCCTTAAGGCCTTGGACGATTTCCTCATGGGCTTTTCCATAGAATTCATCCACTCCTTAATATAAGGCAATCCATAGCCCAAATTGCAATTATCTTATAATTACAATTCCAGTCCCTTAAGTTTAATTAATCTCTTTTAGTCACAAAACTAATTACCAATTAATTATTGACTAATATTAATTTAAACAATATGATTTCTCCTTTAATATATTATTCTCATAATATATTAATAAATCATATTTAATCCTTTCTCTCCATAATTCATCCTATCAAGTTGCTTTGGTGAAGGCAAGCCAAAAAAGACCATGCACCATCGGGTCAAGTACATACCAAAATAGTTATGCACTTAGACACTAATCCAACAATCTCCCACTTGGATAAGTCTAATAACTATTATGCATATGACTTTAGATCCTGATCTGCAATCGTAGCTTTCCAAAGCCGCTGTCAACTCTGATCCTATCAGATACGCGTTTCCTTTAGATAAGGGATCATATATTCCCCCCATTCTAGATATCATATAAGAAATGATTTCAAATCATTCTCTTTGTACTATTTCTCGACTTCCGATTTATAACGACTGACTAACTAAACAAATCAAATTAGCCCTAGCCCGGCCGAGCATTTACGTTTGTCATCACTAAACCATTGAGGGGCCCAAAGATATCGCTTTTATCCTACTTGGGATAAAAGGAACGGATAAACTTTGACTCAATGCTCTCTTGCACTCAATCACCGAATCACACACAACAATATGTTTTATAACACCAAGTTACTGGTGCGTTTACATATTATCAATGTGCAACCGATTTGCAAGATACAACTCACACATCTTGGTTTCAAGAATATAAGATGTTACCGTCTCACCAGTCACTCGTGATATAATCCATGGAGTGATCCAAGTGAGCGTGGGTTTGATCCAATGCTCATATTCATATTCATAAGCACTCATGAACATTGTAGAAAACATTTGCTTATGTCTAATACTCTTTTAGACAATCCACACACCAATTCACGATAGTCTTCATTCATACCTACTTCCAACATATGAACGACTGTGGCCCGTGCGAATAATTTGACTGTTCTTAATCAATTAAGTTATTCAGGAAGTCAAAACATGAAAAGTGAAACACAAGAATAATACTAATCCCATATGGCCTCAAACCTTTGAGCATAAATAAAACAACATTTATTTATCACCATATCGATTACTCATTATTTGTCGTTTCGGGTAATCAACTTCTTACTTGAATTGTTACACTTGTCCCATGCTCTTAGTATGCACACAATGTTTACCTATGGTTCTTACTTTGTGAAATAGATCAAATTGAACACACTTCTAATCATTCTCATATCACAACCCCTAATCCATTTTATAAATGTAAGAATATCAATTCTTGCCACTTATAGAATATGCTAGATTCTAACATTTTATTCAACGATCCTTTTGTAATATCACTGCACCAAAGTCACAAAGACTATTGCCAATGAAATTACAAAGTCCTCTATCGGAGATTGTTACAATACGATTCCATAGATATGATGTCTCTCACTCAAGGTACATTCCTTTGAGCATCCTTTTGCATAAAAGTTTCTAATCTAGACATAGATTTTCAATATTAAATTCCTAATATGGAAAACTTTCCATACTTACCATATGGAAACTCATTCTCAATAGAATCTTATCTATTCAAAATAATGTCAATATGGTCCATCCAATATCATGCTTCCAACTACTCACAAGCGACCAATCCTCGGCAAACTTTGGATTGTCCTTAGATAGTTGTTTAATTATTTTGGTCAAAAACCGATTCTAGTCCTTTTCCCTCTAAATTCTCTAAACATTTGGAAAATTTTAGAATGGTCAAATATTTTAGCATTTGCAATAGATCATGTACCCGAAGCGCATGGGACATGATGCAAAATGTCTTACATAAAGATTTGATACTTTATCAATCTTTTTCCATAATGTTTTATTTGCTATGTTCTCAAAATTCGAATTGTGAAGAGGAATGCCGTAATCATAATCGAAATTTTAAGAACACACTATATACTTTTGACTAAATGTATTAACATTCCACAACCTAAGCCTTTAGATTTGAAATGAAGCATAATATTCTCTCCCTTAATTATAGCAAAACAACTATTCCATCCATACAACTTTGCAAAGAATGACTCTTGTTTTTTATAATTAATATTGCCAACTTGAAATACCTTTCTTAATAATCATATACTCATAACATTTATGCGCCCACTATCATGATGATTATTATAAAACATAACACTTATGCTCCCACTAGCTTCGACATGTATTCATAAACATCTTAACTTTCAGAAAATCAATACCTATTGAATTTCTTAAGTCCATGTTTCTAATACTTAGTGCTTTGATAATCTTTTATCAAATCTTCTTCAACTTATACACCTTTGCCTTAGATAGTTCATATGTGTGTCTAAACAATTAAGACTAATTGCGAAACCTCACAACTCAAATCATGGAAAGGGATACCGTAACCATAAATCGAATTTGAGAATGCAATTTTACAATCACTATCTTTTTAAAATCTTTCTTAGTGAAAGCATTTCCTCACAATCATTTTCATGAAGGAGGAAATCTTATGACACTTAGATTTAAACGGTGTATGTGTTCCTATCCATGTGAATTTTTAAAACCAAAGTTTACGACAAATTCAAACTCATATGGACCGAACTTTCTTAATCTTGATTTCTTGCCTTATGGTAGCACAACTGCCCACCATGTCTTCCAAGTAGTTAAGCAGCTCACCTTTTCCTATCAAAATACTTTCCATTGATCAAGGTCCTTGCCTTTTATGCATTCAAACGAGAACTCATAGGACTCATATGCACAATTAACTCAATTGGAATGGCATAGAAAACAAAATAGTGTCAACACGATAGATAGTTGTAAACCTCAACTCGTGTGCTAGTGATGATCGATAAGGTTTATTTGATTTGTTCTTGAAACCTTTCAAGACCATTAAGACTCCCACTGACTCCTTGACATATAAGATTCTCTTGTCAATAAACATTTCTTGACAACCAAATATTCAAGAGTTAGTGTAGTTTTTATCATAACACTTCATAAAATGGTCCTAGTTGGTCTTTGTCTTATCCAAGACATCACAACTTTCCACATTTGATGAATGTTAAAAACCTTCTTAATACTTGTCACTTATTGCCACAATCTTAACTTTAAGACTTGTTATTGGAACGAAGTATGATTGACTTTTTGATTTAACCATTTCTTCAATTCTTGATTCCTCTTCTTAGACATACAATTGTACTAAGACTCACTTAGAGGATCAATTGAGATATGGTTCTTAATCATTAAGACCTATCATAAAGCATAAAAGGTACTCTCCCTTCTTCTTAGAATGGAGAAACTTTTATCTTTCTGCCTACTTGATTCTTCTTATTCGTTTTGCTATTGATTTAAACTTTTTCAATCAATTCAGAATTACACTTAATCTTATGAGTATAATCATATTTACTAAACTTTTAGTAAACCATGACGAATATCTTGTTACTCTTATGGTGGACTTTGACCAACACACAACTTTGTGTACTCGATCTCCTAGTCCCTCACTGAACACTTTGTCAATGAATTAGTCTAATTTCCAAATATGAAATTTCTCATTCTTCGTGCAACCAAGTTGCATGATTCCAAATTTCTGTCCAATTGAAACTTGGGCGATGAGAAACTCTCCCTATTTGGTAAATTCTCGACTTTTCCATAAACACCATAAATAAGAATCATATCCATTTGTTGTAGAAATATGCAAACACCAATTTTCATAAGGATTTCATTGCAAGGAAATAAACAAATAAATAAATAAGTCAAACGAAAATTTATTTTATTTATAAAAGCAGCGGAAAACATTTGTCCTTACAATGCAAAATCCATTGAAAACTATGTATTTCAAAAGGAAAATTTCTAACAAAGCTATCATAACTATCTAAGCTCAAAATCTAATCTTCAAGTCCATGCGATCAAGATCCATTCCTCATGATTAGATTCATCTTGCTCTTTCACCAAGCTTCCTTTCTTTTCATCGATCCTGCAAAACATTCAAATGCAATCTTATCACATCATGTATTAAGAATCAATGAATAGGAACTTAACGGAGTTAGATAGTGGATTTTACCTGAAGCGCAACCATACACTTTGACTCTCCCATCTTCTGGACTCTTCAGGCTCTTTGGGCAGACT